CCATCTGTGGCAATACCCGACTGCAGGATTCCAAAGAAGATTAGTTAATTGCAATGCATAAAGAGATTACACAGAATCTTTACTATGACCACAAGAGGTTCTTCAGATTAGAACTTCCCTAGAATTTGTTATTAGGTTGGTGAGTACAAATGTATAAGTTATACAAACTGCAAGGAAGAATAAGCAAATTAATCCACAAGTGTTTCCCCTTATAAATCAAGAAAGCCTATATGACTTGCAGTAGTAATTCAACCAGGCTAATTAGACAAGTTGCTTCAAATTCAGTTACAAAGTGGGAATTTCTACCGCACACTTCTAAAAGATCTTCACTCACTTCTAAGAAAGAATATAGCTTCAGGAGACAGCCATAAAGAAAAAATTGTAGTTTAAAATATTGAGAACACAAATAGCCAAAGAAAGATTTAAATTGTTCATACATTAGACGATTGTAATATCATCAGTTCGATTTTCATGCTCCAACCAAAGTTTATACGATTCTCCAGCAATTGCAGCACAAGCATCCCTGGGATCTTTGTATTCTGCTGCCTATATTAAAGAATATTATAATTTTGTCAATCAAATGCACAAAGTACGACAAAATATCTTGGGTAACCAGCAGGTACGACAGAATGCTACAGCTGAGAAAATCCACTTTAGCAATAAACATTGTTTCACAAACAATAAACATGCAATAAAATCTTTAGAAACTTTAGCAGTAGCCTTCTAATCAAAAGCAAATATAACTCATATCAGCATGCAATTGAATGTCAACAGAAGAATGATGTATCCATGGATTGACCGTAGCATTATAAGCAAATGGGAAAAGGGTCATGAATAAATCAGAAGGATCTTTATCATACCATGTTAACAACAGTTTGGCTAGAGAGAAACTTGAAAACTCCATCACTTGCAACAACAAAGAAAAGATGACTAGGTGTGAGTCGAACAATTGAATCTCAGGAACTGCAGTCACACCGATCTTCTCTGCAGTGCTATCTCCTACACTCCTTGTAAATGCAGTCCCAGGATACATTCCATTCGGAACCCACAACCTCGGAGGATCGCCATCATTACTTTCTTCATCACCCAATTCTGAATATTTGGGTCTTTAAAGCCTTCCACTTGTTCGATATTCAAAACCCTGGCCCCATAAAGCTTCACCCGATCGTATTCATCTTTCCTAAAGGGTGTTTGATCCATAGATAAATCCTCAGCCACAATCTGGTCCCCATCGTTAACAGCAATCACAGCCCTCGAATCACCCACATTAGCAACATAAAGAGTATCCCCAACAACAAGTACAGTTATGGCTGTGGTACCACTCAAAGCATCATCAATCTCACTATTATGTAACTCGGAATTCGTAGCTAAAAATGCAGAATTGTAAGCTTTTAAAGGATCGTCCAACAATGTGGGGTCACTGGATAATATTTCCACAAATCTATCCTTAACAAAATTCGAACATTCAGCACCGTATTGACCATGTCCATCAAATACACCGAAGAAATGAACATTTGGGTTACCTTGAATATGTGTCTTGATACAGAAACTATCTTGGTTTTCCCTCTCAGCCGCGCCTGGGTAATAACCATATGTTGTTAAGCTCGAGTACTGCAAAGTGAAGTTGCGATATGGAACATGAACCAGCTCCAATGAACTTTTTGTAAGGCAGTGTTTGCTTTTGTAAGGTTTTATTCCTCTATGGTAATCCGAATCCTCATCTGGTGTTGGCGGATATCTGTTACCACACTTTCCCAGAACTCAACCCATGATTTCGAAACAAAATTTAGAAAGAACATAAAAAAAATCCTTTCAAAAAGTGTAGCTCAATTGTTTGATAAAAGGCCTGAAAGAAACTGAATTTGTGATGGAGAAAATGATGCACTTTTAGGTGAATATGGAGAAATGGATTTTTTTTGAACCTAACATTTTAGGCATTTTTACAGGAAATTTGATCATGAAAGATGACAAAAAAAAGAGTAAATTTTACGGAGCAGTGCAAACCAAGAGGGTGTGGGGGATTTTTAAGACAAAAAAGAAGAATAAAACCCTTAACAAGCAAAAAAAGAGTGATACTCTATACCAAATCTACGGAAAAGAAGAAATCCTTTTTAGGATTTAGTGGATTCCTACTTCAATTCAAGGCGAAAGGGATTGCTTTCTTGACAGAAAACAAGATCAACAGCTCAAGAAGGAAATTAAAGGGATCCATTAAGGGGAGGTTGAAAAGAAATTGGAAAAAAAACGTAAACCCTGAAACTGGGATGTGTGAATTTGTTGTGCTTCAAAAGATATTCAACTTCCCAGCGAGAGAGACAGAAAGGGATAGAGAAAATCGATGGTCGCCCCGTGTGTGCATGGGTGAGTTTAGCTTTACCCCCGCCAACCCCGAAACAAAGAAAACAAAATAAATAAAAATGTATATATTTAATTTTTATTATAATAATCTGATTATTAATTTTAATTTTGGAATCCGTTTACTCATAAATTTGATGTAATTTTCATTAATTTTAGGGTAAACGACCTATTTAGTCCTTCTTTAATTCTTGTATTTTTATTTTGATCACTCGACTATTTTTTTTCAAAACCATTCATAATGTTGCATTTCATTTTTGTTTTGGTCACATATTGTTAGATTTGATCATTGACTTAACGAAAATGATGATGTGTCATGATATAATAATAATTTTAGTCCTCAAAACTTACACCTTCTATCAAATCAATCCTAATTTGAAATAATTTAAAAAGATATTCAATATTTGGAAATAATTCAATTTGTCCAACATACAATCCCAAAATCTCTTTCCCAAATGTCGACCTTCATCGTCGCACATTTGCTCAATCACCGCTATCACCTCTCCACATCGATCGTACACCCCTCGTCAACCCCTTACATTATATTTTAGGCCTTACAACCACCATATTCAATTGCACCCTTCGTGAGTTATTTGAACGACAGAAAGTTGGGACGAACGGACATTGATCGATTGTGAAGGCAATGAATCAAGAAAGAGAAAATTGATGGGAACAACAAAATTTTGTGTATAAAGTATGTGTGTTTTGCATAAGGGTGTCAATGATAACGAATAAGTGAAGAAGTTGTTGTGATGACATTAATAGTAACATTTCGATGACAGTTTGGGAGAATCGTCTCGACTAGGATAGCACAATTTATATCTATCAAATCTTACTTCAGGTGTAATTTAAATGGTAATGATATCTGTCGAGGGATCTTTCGATTACATAATTGATTAGAACCCTAACAATCAGAAAGTATTGCATTATTGAGTGTATGGTGTCGTTTTAGCATCGAATTTTTGTATTTTGACCCTCGAGAGAAACTTAAAAACGCTTCAATTGAGGAGAGCACAATATGTAAATTGTTCGTTCTTACCACGACTTATCTCGAGTGTCAAATCATCTTGTGTGTAATTCACTTTGATTGATTTGAATCCAATTGAAAATTTTGGAACAATAATCAAATAATTAATCCCATTTCATACCCCTCATTATTCATTTATTGTTTGTAACTTCTTTTTGTCAAGTCCTTACATTATTATTCTGGTTCTATGCTCAAGATTTATAATATATCTGTAGTACGAATAAAGTGACTTTAATGGTTAAAAAGTTTGTTATAATTTTTTGGGATACCGAATTCAAGCATCGCAATACTAAAGATATAAACACTCATTGTCAGAGGGTTAAAAGTCTTTGAATAGATACTATTTTATATTACCCTAAACTTTATTGATATAATTACTATGTCCAATGGACCATTACTATTGATGTAATTATTTTCATCTTTTTTTCCTAATTAGCTTATGCTCACGTATTATCTAGATTGGTTCAACATAATTATTATCAATCGAAATAATTATAGATCAAATCAAACTCAAATACTTTTGATAATTATCATCTAAAAACATATACAATACAAAAAGAAAAAAGAAAAAATTGATATAATCGATAAAATTGCTCCAATAACGTGTTAGAACAAATATTTAATCATTCAAGGTGTAAAAAAATATTTTTGCAAGTAAGATGTTTGCTACAATGTTTATTGGAAGTCGCCTGGATCACATAACATCCTCTGGAACACTCTTGAATTGTTCAATGACTTCTGCACCATAATATAGTTATCCATACTATCATGCATATAAAGAACGCATTATATACTCTATATGACTTCCAGAAAACGTAAATATTATAACAATCACTCTACTTATAAAAATATTTTCTCATACACTCCATATAAAAATAATCAACACATTATTTAAAACATTTTGCCGTTATAATCCTTCAAATTTAGGGAAAATGAAAAGAAAAAAAAAACCATGAGCACATTTCCCACTACATATCTATATGACGTCAACATTATGTAGGCGTGACAATCCTAAATGGGTAACATTATTATAGTGACCCCAATTTCCCAAATCTCCTGCTCCCCAACGTTCCTTATTCTGCCACGTCATCATCCAAAAAAATCACCTTTATTTTTTTTCATTTTTTACTCTTTTACTTAAGTCAACCCCACATTCATCACTCTTTGTAACCAATCAGATTCGTTCACATCATCATATTTTTCCAACCCCTCGTTTTTATCCTATTAAAAATAGGATCAAATTATATCGTAGTTCCTCTATTATTCTTAAATTCAAAATTTATTCAGAATTTTAATTAAACATAATTTGATCATCTATTTTCACATGATCAATAATTAATATAAATAATTAACTAGTCTGGTTAAAATGTTACTTTGAATTCTTTTATTAATAACACCCATTGCATCGTAAAGAAAGGACATATCGATAAAATGAGTTAGAAATTAAGGAAAAATTGTTTCAACATTTTAATCAAAAGAGCATTAATAATTTAGACTAACTAATGATATTATAGAAATAGAGGATAAAATTATATTGAATTAAAATATAGGGACTAAGTCTCAATTTAAAGGATAGTAGAGGACTGAAACTACAATTTGACTTCAAAATCTCCCCCGAACTACACCTATATACTTCACTGTTTTTAACATTTTATCTACCTTTTGTTGTCGTTGACGATGTTGTCTTATTTTCCGGTATCATTTCCGACAAGGCGACGTGAAAGTTTGGAAAACAACGGTACCGGTGGCAGGGAATTCGTCCATGGCAAAACTCCGGCATTTGAGTCCAAACGGTTCCATGGCACGAGACACCCTCGTCCAAACCTCACGACGGTGAAGGCTCGTCGTCGAGATCGAAACCGTCGCCGGCTTGAATACCTGAACCGCTTTCTTCAAGGTATCGACAATGTCGTCTTGGTCATCGTAAACGGACCCAACGCACTCGAAGCTAGCGTAACTGAACCCATCTTCAGGCGTAACATGGATCGTCGAGTAACGATCACCGTCGACGCCGTTCATGGAGTAACCGCAAGGGTCGAACTCGAAATCGCAAATCAAAGCTCGCGGGTTAATGTTGTCGATTCCGGCCAACTCAGTCATGTGTTTGGAAACAGACGAGTCGTGGCTTGTTTTGAAGAATTTCCGAGCCATGACTCGGTCGAGTTCCGTCATGCAAACTTCGACGGTGAAAGTATTTTCAGCCGATAAATGATCACCGTCGCCGGCACAGAAAACATGCCATGAATTCGAAGGGTTTTTCGAAGGCATAACGGAGGCTTTCCTAAAGCAAAGAGCTTCGGGTAAATTCTCTTCAATGTAAACCACTTCTTGTCTGAAATTGACATGAGGGAACGGCTGTGATTTAGGGAAAATGAAGTTGCCTCGAGTGTACCTACAGCCGCACAACGTAAGGCCGAGTTCGTTCGCCAAGTGAATCAACGGACGGATCGACTTCAGCAACTGAGTAGTCCCACAGGTCTTAATAATGATCTTAGTCGGATACACAAACAAGCTCGATTCAGACAACACGTAAGCATCGAAGAAATGGTTCCCGACGGCCGATACGACGGCGCATTGGACGACACGGAGGACTTTTTTAAGCGAATCGAAATCAATCAGCCTAAGACCCATCGTGACCGTCGGATCATTGTCGTCACTGTAAAAATGGAGTTCAAGGCGCTTTTCGAAACCTTCGAAACCAGAAGCAGCCATGGCTGGAAAACCTTGACTAAATCGAAAACCAACAAAAACCCAAAGACAAAGATGAAAAGAAGATTAAAATGGGGGAATTAGGGAGAGAAATGGTTGGAGTTTGATGGAGGAGCAATGGGAGGTGAATTTATAGGGAGACAAAGCATAGAAGTGGGAAGGCATGCGGATTGAGGTTACCAAGAATCATGATTGTTAGCATAACGAAGTGAAGAAATGATGATTTGTCAAAAAAAAAACCCATCAAATTTAGTTTGAGCTGTAAGAGAAAGAGATATTCCATGAAACATATAAGAGGTACATTTCATGGGAATGTCATTGGTTGAAAAAGGTGTTTGGATATTATGTATATAGTATCATACTAATTACAAATGTTTAAGTACAATTAAGTCATATTAACGATCCGTTTGTCTAATAAAATGAGACCATAGGTTTTTTAAATATTTTTTTAAATATGATATTGTGAACGAAGAAAATTAGATTTAGAAAGTCACATACATTTTAAATATATAACTTTTCAAAAGTTTAAGGATTAATTTAGATTAATATTTATAGTTTAGGGATAAATGTACAATATTTTAAAGTTTAAGGATCAATTTAAAAAGAATATCATAGTTTGAAGATGTATAATGTAATTAACTCATTTTAAAAATAAATTTATACGCTTGAACGAGTAATACGACTCATTTGATAAGTATATTTATTTGGGTAAGCTATATGTAGCACCCTCAGTATCATTTTGTTCCATTTTATTCTCCCACTTATTATTCAAAACACAATCTAACGTTTAATTTTAATTTCATCTTGATTACCCGTCATTAAAATTAACGATGATGTTGACATATCATTATAAATAATATCACATCATCATTTAAAAATAAAAAAAATATGTCAACAGTTCCATTATTTTTTTAACAGTGGATAACAAAAATAAAACTAAAACAAAATGTTAGATATGATTTTAAAAACAAAAAGTTCAAAGATCAAAATATAACAAAAATAATAATTAAGATTTAAACATGTAGTTTACCTTATTTATGTTGATGCGCATGCAATTCAGATAATTGTCATGCGACAGTTACTCCTACCAATGCAGGTCTATCGGTCAGTTCCAATCACCAATCTTCCATTCACTCATGAGTGCCAATGAAACACCTTTTCAGCTTATCTTTTTTATTGGGTAAACTAATTATTAAGTCAACCACCTATTACTTAATTTCTGTTTTGATCATCCAAGTATTATTTTTTTAAAAATATATATAATGTTACATTTTAGTTTTATTTTGTTCACCCTACCGCTAAAAAATTAACGATGATACGAATATATCACCATGATATAATATCACATCAGTATTTAAAAATAATTAAAAATACCACGTCAGCATCATCGTTAATTTTTTAACGATGGGTGACCAAAACATAACTAAAACGTAATATATATGTTATTTAAAAAAATTAAATAACTAAAAAAAACTAAATAATAGGTGGGTGACCAAATAGATAGTTTACCCTTCTATATGCGGATCAAACTCCTAACTTGAAAATACATAAAGAAAATATGAAATACCTTCAATAGCCATTGATAGATATATTTTAAACTGGTTTAATATTTATATATTCTTAGATCAAACAAGTCATCGATTTTTAATTTAATCAATTTAATTGGTTAATATAGTCTAATAATATTTAGATTTCATTCATGAATGTAGTCTTTGTCGCATCATATTTATTTATGTATTGCGAGTTTATTAATGTTATTATCATTGAAATCTTCTTAATTGGAATGATAATAAATCAAACGTGAATATGTAATTTTTTAAAAATATTTTTATTCATGACCATTTTTATAAAACAAATAAAACGTTAAAGATATATATATATCCTATTTAAGAAAACTATTTAATATGTTAATAATAATTAAAACAATATATTGTTGATGCATCAAATATTAATTTATATATAATTAGATTCATGAACACTTTGAAACACTTTGAGAGTTATCAACAATTTTGTCTGATATTTTTAGTTCACATGCAAATGTGTAATTATTCCAACACTCCTGTCTGGTTTCATGGTACGTAAAATTAATTACATCATCCCTCGTTGTTTCTTCATCGACATCTTTTGAGAGTTATCAAGTAATTTTGTCTCGCATTCTTACTTCACATATGCAATCGTGTAATTATTCCAACATCTAGGGATAGGGGTGGACTAAAGATGGCAACCGCTTCTCATAAAAATTTAAATTATTATACATTCATATATATATATATATATATATATATATATATATTGATAATCTATTTTTGTCTCTTAGAATTTATAAATTCGTTACTTTTTAAAATTTTAAAAATCAATTCCTTAACATAAAATCATACGTTCGTCTCTACCAACACCCCTCTCTAGTTTTTCGTGGCAAGTAAAACTAATTTACAACATGAGTTAGACGTTCCAAACACGGTTAGTTGGTCTTGTTCGGATAAGAATAAATGTCTTACACGAAATATGTTTGGTCTGTTTAATTTTATTGGATTTAATTTATTCTTATATATATATATATTATAATTATTCTTAATAATATTGTTTATGAATATTATATGAAAATAAATACTAGTTATATAGAACTATAATTTTGCAGAAAAATAAATATAAGAAGAGAATCAGGCGTGACAACTAAATAATGAGAAATCCTTGAATTTAGGGAGGGCCTCTTACGTGAAACTCAAAAGGAATCTGCAACATCATTTTTATTCTCTACAAACTTCAAACATAAATTATGCTTATCACCTGGTAGGATCACTATAAATATCTATTGGTCGCAATTAAGGGAGAACTTTTGTTTTCTTCTCCTTCATACCTTTATTTAAGTCGATCATCTTTTTCCATATGTTACCTCTCTCTCGCCCCTTCTCACTCACAGAAAATTAACAATCTACAGTTGATTTTATGTCGATTATAACTCTTCATTCAAATTAAAAAGAGTAAATCGTCAATATTTAATATAATTAAGTCATTCTAATCAGCAATCTTCATATAATTAAAAAATATTAATTTTATGGTTGATTATTAAATTAAATGTACATTTATATTTTTTTACAAGTGGTTTCAAGATTGATTTAAACAACATATTCTCATCGTGACATTATCTTATGGCGTCTCTTTTGATTTTTAAATAAAACTTTAAACCAAGGATTACATTAATAATTCAACATGATAACCTCTCCAGGAGTATCAAAGGTATATACATGAATAACCAAATGGGAAAATACAAAGAAAGTCATAATTATCTCAAAAGCAAAGGTGGAATTGGAATTAGAAATGGATTATATTCAACTAATTTTTTTTTGAATAATCTCGAATGATAAAAAGATTGTATGAAATCACTTTTTTTTATTAATATGGGATAAGTATAAGTCAAAACAATATTTGTTCAAATTCAACTCTCAATCATTTGACATTAAAACGCTCACACCCCTGATATTCATAGTACTTGAACTTGGGACTTTAAGGAATATCATCAATTCATTTACCACCGAAGTCGCTTAGTTCGTGCATATGAAATAATTATGATACATTAATATACGCCACTTTTATTCAAATCATGACCTATAACTTGATTTCTTGATGAACCCATCAAGTGATCTTAGTGGAAAAAGGAAATATAATTCTTCCTAAAGGTCATGGGTTCAAATAGATACGTCTGCAAAGTGCGTGTTGTCAATTAATTAAGAAAGTTCTAAATATAAAAAGAGAAAGGTTAATCTTCCTAAAGATCTTGAGTTCGAGCAACTGCGATTATAAAACGTGTGCGCATTGTGAAAAGACAAAGAATACTTGTAATTTATATTAAAATAAATAAATATTAACAATTGATTTGAGAAATACAAAGGGCTGTATAGGACAAGATAATGAAGACAAAAGAGAGGATGAAGAAGCAATGATGGGAAATGGTGAGGTTTCAGAATCAAAATTTTGCAGATATTAAAAGGGGGGAATGATTCAAAATGTACGCAGTGATTGAATAATGCAAATGTTAACTTATGGATGGCTGCCAGCCCCCCATTATGACCACAATACGCACTTCTTCAGCAGCATGCGCACCCCACCAAACTCAACATTTTCAAGATAATTTGCATTATTATAAGATAATATTTATTCAGAAAAAACAAGTTAATAGTAAATTTATTGAGATATTAATGTAATAGGAAAATAAATTTATTCATATGAGGTGGTGCAATTTTTATTTTTTCAAAGAAGGTAAATGTTACCGTGTCAATCATAAATCATGTGAATCACTTGATGTTTTCATGAAGACGCGGCATCTTCTAGCATTAGTTCCCGTGTTTTTTTGTTTTTTTTTTTCATCTTCTCAAGCTCCATCAATAGTGTCCGTTAGCTTCCATATGCTCCAACAACAGCCTAGGTAAGTTCACCATCATCAACTCAAGGACACCAACAATGTCATCACCATTTTCGTGCCAGAGGTTGGGGAGATGTCAGGTCTTTTATGTGTCTTTATGAAGACATCGGGTAATCCATGCGTCTTCCCTTGTCGACTTGAGAAACCAAAATAAAGTCTAATGATCCTTGTTTGGGGAATTTTTTCCACTTCATTATTTAGGTGATTTTGCTTTTAGTTAATTGATAATGTACATAATCTTATAAATTTAATTGTTCAAATCCGAATCCTTTAGAGAGAATGATATTTCTTTTTGCTACTAATGTCATTTAATAGGTTGATCAAACTCGATATATAGATCTTTTAAATCGTATATTTTATTTTATTTTTAAAAACTCATTTGATCTATTTTATTGACATCTTTAATAATATTATTAATTTAATATAATTAATTAAAATGATATTTATAAAATAATTAAATAATTTTTATACTTGTAAGCACTATATTTTAACTTTTTTTTATTTTATTTGGTTATTTCTCTATCAATAAAAATGGTCAAACACTTGTAATAATAATTATATCCATTTGTTGGCATCAAATCTTACTTAAAAGTCCCAACAAAATCCCACCTTTTACATCAAAAGGTGCAACCAAAATCTTCCTTGTTAGGATTCAAATAG